CCTGCCCTGCGTGGGGAGTTGTAGGTGGATGGGGTGGGGGGTAGGTTGGGGGTGGAGGTGGAGGGATGGGGATGAGGGGAGGGAGAAGGGACTCACATGTGAAACAAGCTTGTTCCCTAACTTGAATTAATAAAAAAAAAAAAAAGAGAAAGAAAAAAAAGAGAGAGAGAGAGAGAGAGAGATCCTGTCTCAAAACAGTGGCCAGGCGTTGGTGGTGGTGCACACCTTTAATCCCAGCACTCAGGAGGCAGAGGCAGGTTTATTCTCTGTGATTCAAGGCCAGCCTGGTCTACACAGAGAGCTCCAGGACAGCCAGGACCACATAGTGAAACAGTGACTGAGGTAGATGCCCAATCTCTGACCTCTGACACATGTGCAGAGCATGTACATACACCACAAACACACAGGAAAGCTCAGGGGCCTGGGGCATGGTGGTGCGTGCCTGCAACACCATCTACAGAGAACGCTGGGGCAACAGGACCCTTGAGTTGTATGTCAGCCTGGATATATAACAAGATCCTTTTCTCAAACTACCAACACCCAGAGAGCAGGGTAGAGCCAGGGAGAAAACTGAAATTCATAAGAAACCAAGGCAAATAGGCTGATTCTTCCAGATCAGAAATGGGCAGTGACGTCATCAAAAAAAGAAAAAAAAAAATGCCCAGTGGCAGTTTCAGACAAAAACCAGCTCCCTGCTCCCTTCCACAAGCCTCCTTAGCCCCACCCAAGGTGACGTGAGAGTCTCACCTCAGGGGCCGATTCAGGAACAAAGGTTGTTTCTAGAATACACAGCTTTCATTTAAGAACTAACCCTCTAAGAACCTAAACAGGGCCTCAAATGAACTTTGGTGTTCCATAAGCTATGGAACCAGAGAAAACTATGGCACCATCCAAAGGTCAGAGTTGTAGCTCAGTGGTAAAGCGGATGGATGCAGGCACCAAAAACAATGAAGTATCTCACTATGTAGTAACATCAAAGATGTCAGAGACAGGGTCTCACTATGTGGCCCTGACTGGCCTGGAACTTACAGAGAGCCAACTGCCTCTGCCTCCTGAGTGCTAGCTTTCCTGGGGGTGGGGGGGACTTTTTGGCTGTATTTACAACAATGTGTTCAACTTTTCCCCAGTAAAACACAGTTAAGGTCAAATATATCTCTATTAGCATTTGTTCCCCACAGAGATGTAAGAAAAGAAAGCAGAAGACCATGGTTCTACTTCATACATCTTCACCGTACATACTTACTTTTTAAGTTTCACTTCTTTATCCATGTATGTGTATGCTTGTGTGTGTACCTGTGTGGACACATGTACCACAAGTGTGTGTGTGTGTGTGTGTGTGTGTGTGTGTGTGTGTGTGTGTGTGTGTGTGTGTGCATCAGAGGACAGAATTTGCAAGAGTTAATTCTCCTTCTCCATCTTGTAGGCCCCAGGAGTCGAACTCAGGTCTTCAGGCTTGGCAGCAAGCAGCCCAACCTGCTGAGCAATCCCATTGGCCCAGTATATGCATTTTTAGGGTAGGATTGGGGGATACTAGTGTGCCTTTTTAATTTATACTTAACAACTGTGCGAAGCTATGGGGTACAATATGATATTTCAATAAATTCATACAATGTACAATGATCAAATCAAAACAATTAACAAACTCACCACCTTCCATCTGCTTTGTCTTGGGACCACTCAACCTCTCCTCTTCTAGTTATTGTGAAGCATGTAATAATTATTAGAGATCGTTGCCCTCCTCCACTACAGGACACCAAAGCTTATCCCTTTTACCTAACTACTCATTAGTAGTCTAACTGGTCTACCTGTTAACCAGCCCTCCTCTCCCTCTCCTCACCAGTTATCTGGCAGCCACTATCCTAGTCTCTGCTTCTATAAGATAAACTCATCTGCCTTCCACACATGTGTGAGAAGGGAACAGACTATATTTTGTTACATCAACCATGCATTATTACCTTAACTTTTAAAAATTAAAAAGCAAGAAACAAGCATGGTAGCACATGCCTTTAATCCCAGCACTGGGTAAGCAAAAGCAAATGACTGATTCTCTGGGAATTCCAGGCCAGCTTGGTCTATGCAGCAAACTCCAGGCCAGCCAGATCTACATAATGAGACATTGTCTCAAAAACTAAATTAATTGACTCAATTTAATTAAAGTAAGATTCTATTAAAGGTAGTTAGAGACCATTCCAAATTAAATGACTTTTCATTGCTGCCTTTTGTAGCCACGGTACTGTAGACTGTTTCTAAGTGGGTCAGCTCTTAATCTTTAGAACAAGGAACTGGAGGTGCATAGTCAGAAAATCGACTGAATGAGTGAGCGGTGTCAAGGACCATATCTGCAAGAACCGCTTTCAATTGACAGTATCTGAGTATCAGAGCCTTGGCTCATTCCGCGGGGATGGATGTGAAGACTCACCAGGTAAAGGTTATTTTTGTCCTGAAAGGCATACTGTAATTGGGGGATCCAAGGGCTCGTGCTCCGAGATAATATGTTCCGCTCCTCCTCGAAAAATGAAACCTGGAGGGAAAAGAAACTCTTTAGATAATTGTATTAGAACTAAATGTGAAGGGGAAATGGCCTTTGTCCTGCCTTTCAGTCTACATTGATGTTTCCAGGTTTAAAAAAAAAATCACTTAGCACTAAGTTCAACAAGTGTGGTAACCTACTAGGCTCAGCTTTGTCAGGCCCACGTTATCAATCCAGTCATAGACATAACATCTCTCCTTAAGTCAATTCACTCCTCCAGAGCTTAAATATCTTTCTCTTCCTCTCCACCTTCACTTCCTGGATGGTTCTAACAGGTGCCATGAATCCAGGCCAGGTAGAGAGTCAGAGAGCAACCAGTGCCAGGCCCAAGCAGAGTGAGGCCAGTGGCAAACAGGTGTGGCAGCAGGCCAGGATGGGCTACCAGAGGATCTACACATAGGGGTGGATGGCGTAGGGCAAGTGAGGAGACAAGGCTATGTCCACAAAGATAGATGGGATTGTGCTGGTGTAAGAAAATTGTGAGAGGGCTGGAGAGATGGTTCAGCAGTTAAGAGAACTTGCTGCTCTTGCAGAGGACCTGGGTTCAACTCCCAGCACCCACATCATAGCACACAACCACCTGTAACTACAGTTCCAGAGAATCAACATCCTCTTCTAGACTCTGAAGACATACCAATGGTGCACATACATATATGCATACATACACATGTACGTACGTATATACATACAGGCACAACAATCATAAAATCTATTTTTTTTTTTATTTCAAGACAGAGTTTCTCTGTGTAGCTTTGCACTGGCACTCACTCTGTAGACCAGGCTGGCCTCAAACTCACATAGATCTGGCTGTCTCTGACTGGTAAGTGCAGGGATTAAAGACATGCCTCACCACTGCCTGGCCTTAAAAAAAGGAAAAAAAAAAAAAAAAACTAAAGAAAATAGTAAAAGTGGAATGTCAGAGAAAATAGTTACTATGGTTTGGATGTCCCACCCCCAAAGACCCATGAGTTTAAAGGCTTGTCCCTTAGCTCACAGCATCATAAGAAAGTCTCCCAGTAATTGGGGGGCTCTCCCTGAAAGGGATTATAGAACTCCAACCCATTCATCTTTCTCTGTTTTGATGCCAACCACCAGTTGTGACTCCCCGCCACAGGCTCAAAAGCATGAGGCTGGATGTGGTGGCTCAACCTTTAACCCCAGAACTCGGAAGGCAAAGGTGGGTAGATCTAGAGAGGTTTCAGACCAGTGGGATTACAGAGTCAGAAACTGTCTTTAAAAAAAAAGACTAATCCCGTAACTCAGGAAGCAGAGGCAGGCAGATATCTGTGAGTTTGAGACCAATCTGGTCTACAAGAGCTAGATCCAGGACAGTCTCCAAAGCCACAGAGAAACCCTGTCTTGAAAAACGGAAAAAAAAAGAAAAAAAAAAGGCAATGTGGGTATTGGCTCTACACTGAAACTTTCAAAGTATGAGCCAAAATAAACATTTTCTCTTTATATGCTGGTTATCTCGAGTACAAATGGTAGTACAGGGAGCTGACTCACAAGTCACAAGCACAGGGACGAGAAAGATTTGGGAGAGAGATGTAAAGTTGAGCTGGAGTTAGAGGTAACTGTATGAACATGGTTTTGCATATGAACACATAGAAGCAAATAAGCAAATACGTGTCCATCTATGCATGTGTCCATATGTTTGCATATGCATGAGTGTACACACGGGAACTTATAAGCAGCTATACTATACACATAAACATGTATTCCTTAGCCTGACCCAGGAGAGAGGTCTAAGAGTAATGACAGTTCAATGGAAATGCAAACCCAGTGTTAACATCCTGGCCTCTAGCCGTGTGGCGCATGCTTTTAGTCCCAGCACTCAGGGGGCGGGGGCAGGCAGATCTCTGTGAGTTTGACACCAGCCTGGTCTACAGAGTGAGTTCCAGGACAACCAAGGCTGTATAGCAAACCCTGTCTCAAAGAAAAACAAAATCTTGGCCTCTGATTTTTTATTTTTATTTATTTATGTGTATGTGTGTCTATGCCATGTGTGCAGGTGCCTGCAGGAGGCCAGAAGAGAGCAGTGGCTCCCACAGAACTAGAGCTTACAGGTGTTTGTGAGCTAGCTGCCCAACATGAGCTCAGGGAACCAAACTCAGGTCCTCTGCAAGAGCAGTGTGCTTTCTACTACCAAGCTGTCCCTCAGCTCCAAGATCTAGACTCTAAGGACCATTTCCACTGACTAGGAATCCCTGGAGACATGCTGGTGCAGGGAAAGAAGCTGCAGGGCAAACCTGAACATCTCTCACCACAGAACAAGAAATGTACTCAAGAATGGCAGGGATCTGCCAAGAAGAGACAGAGCCAATCTGAAGAGCTGCCTTGGAGACACTCTGGGCATGACAGATTGCACTCATTAGCTAGAACAAGGAAAGGCCAGTTCACACAGTCCAAACACTGAGGGTTACATGAAGAATAGTTCTGGAATAGTTCTGTCCTTTCAGGGAGTTCTGTCTCCATCAAATACTAAGGGGAAAAGAGCAACTCCCCCGTGAAGAGTGGCAGGCACCACTTTCATCCGATGAGCTATGTGAGAGAATCCAGAAAGTAGCCGGTTGGAACTGAGTCATCTGCTGCAAGAAATAGGAAAAGAACCCCCTCTTTGTGATATTTCCACCCCACACTTACAACCTGGATAACAAGCATAGCAGCTAAGTTTGAATTTTATGGAATAACTGGCCTGCTGTCATTGGAACCGTGGAGGTCACAGGGACTCAGGAAAAAAAAAAAAAAAGGAACTGACTCAGATCAAAGAGAGAGAAGGACTAAATGCCTGGATCCTATTCTAACAATGTGATTGAGATAGCTGGTGAAGTATGAATGGGGTAAGAGAAATGTGCTGTTGCTAATTTTCTGGCTGCATGATGGATCATGGGAAAACATCCCTGTCAAAGGACACATATACTAAGTACTCAGATGCATTTTTTGAGTCATTTGGCCGATGGGGGTGGGGGGGTAATTTTCTGGTAAGTAATTTTATACAGAAACCAGGAAAGGCCAAAACACCAGTTATTCAATCAGACACTAACCTAGGTTAGTAGATGTTTAGACGCCGTGCTCGGCAGCTCAAGGAGACCACCCTCAGCAGTCTCAGTGGGCCTCATCCAATCAGTTGAAAGGCCTCAAGAGGAAAACTGAAGGGTTAGGAGTGTAACTCAGTGGTAGGGTAGGAGCCTAGCATGCTCCAGACCCCAAGGTCAGTCCTCAAAACCACCAAAAAAAAAAAAAAAAAATGCAACAGAGGGATGGAGAGGTGGCTCAGTAGTAAAGAGCACTGGCTATTCTTCCAGAGGTCCTGAGTTCAATTCCCAGCATCCACATGGCAGCTTGCTCCTATATATAACTATAGTCCTATGGGATCCAAGACTACCCACTACATAAATAAATAAATCTTTAAAAACCTTAAAAAAAAAACAAAAACACAGTTTCCCTAAAAGGGAGGGGTGTGCTTCGAGACTATTAGAGGCTGGACAGATAGTTCAGTGGCTAACACATTTGCTTAGCATGAAAACTTGAATTGGTATCTTAGCACGCACATCACATAAAGAAGTAAATATTTAAAAAGCTGGGCGCAGCCAGGCTCTCCTATAATCCCAACACTGTAGGACAGAAAGAAGGCCACTGGCACTCACTGACTGATGGCCTAGCTGCAGGAGATACAGTGGGAAATGACAGAGCAGGACACCCAAGTCTTTTGGCCTCTGTGCACAAGCCCTTAATCTCCTGAGTGCTGGGATTCAGGCCACCACACCCAGTTTATGCAGTGCTGGGGACTGGACCCAGGACTTCATGCATGCTAGGCAACATTCTACCCACAGAGCTGCATCCTTTGCCCTGAAATGTTTTTAAATAGCTTGTCCATGTTCCCAAAGATCACCCTGGAAACCCCGGTGCTAAATCTAAGCTGCTTAGGAAAAGGCAGCTCAGCCCAGTACTTTACAGTGCTGGAGGGCTGATCCTGTTCACTCACACAGGGAGGTGGTCAGGGAACGCTGGATCTCAACAGACCCCAGCCTCGCTTGCTCACTGAACAGTGGTTCAGTCTGCCTCAGCCCTGAAGACTCCATTAAAGTAACTGGTCCCTGAGGAGTATTTCTGGCTGTCACAGCACTCAGTGCAAGCACGCTGGTCTCTCCCAGGTGGCTGGCTCTGTTTGAGATATACCACTTCTTCCCATCCTCTCTGACGCCTCCTTCAGCCTCTTCTCATGCTGCCCTTCTCTCTCTATGTCTTTAAATCCCAAATCCTCACGGTGACTCCTTTAGGAGCCCTGTTTTTCTCTTATATTGATCCTCTTAGTCAGTGATACATACATTTACCAATGACAGTTGGTTTAATTAGCTCCTTGTATAAACAGGATTTAAAAAAAAAAAAAAAAAACACCCAGAGGTCCACACCTCTGCACCACAGTCACTTCAGGTCTTTGACCTGGAGAAAAGTGCATCTTTTTGACTCTCAGGTGTCTGCCCACATGTGGCATGTTGGATTTGTTTTGTCTTACATGACTATTTCCCATCCAAAACACAAGCGCTGCAAGGTTGGCTAGCAACGTGCACGCCCAGTGAGTGAGTAGGGATGATGGGCAGCACCTTGCTGGATGGAGAAGCTGAGGGAGCCTTCCCACTCCTGTCCTGCTAATCACAGGCAATGTCTTGTCATTTTCCCTCCCTGCAATGTTGCTCACTTTATTCTCAAACACAGAAGCCGTGCCATGCTCGGAATCTGACAAGCAGATTCCCACCCTCTGCTGCAGTTTCTGTCTCAAAAGACAAAAAAACAGCACCAAAGTGGCATCTTTGGGTTCTGTTATGGAGTGTGATGATTTGGATCTGAAATGTCCCCCAAAAGCTCATGTGCTGAAAGCCTGGTTCCTACAATATAGAGGGGTGCAGAGATGGGGGCCTTGGGAAATAATTGGGTAATGAGGACTGTGACCATATCAATGGATTGGTCCATTTGTGGATTAATAACTTAAAGGGCTACCAGGAAATGGTAGGAGGCTGGGCCTAGTTGGAGGTCACTGGTAGGCAAGCCCTGGGAAGGACCATCTTGTCCCTGGATCTGTTTCCTCCTCCACTTTCTCCCTCTCCCTTCTTCTCTCTCTCCCTCAGTGGCCACATGCCCTCCACCATGATACTCTGTCTCACCACAGTCCTAAAGCAAGGAAGCCAGCCGACCATGGGGCAGAATCTCTGATGCTGAATCAGAACAGCTCATTTTCCCCTCTAAGTTGATTTCTCTCGAATATTTTTTTGTGGGGTGGAAGACCAACACAGGAATGGTGGCAGAGTTCTAGGAATGGATGTGATAGTGGTTACGCAGTATGGCAGGACTTCTTAATGCTACTGAACCCTAGAGTAAAAATGGTTAATGTGGAAAATTTTACCTTATGTAGAGTTTAAAATGATGAAAAGCTACAATTGATTGTTGAGATCCCCCCTCAACTGTGGCCATCTGACCACCCAGATGAACTGAACTAATCTCAGTTAGTTCTAAATCACTGCACACTCCCCCTCTACACACACACACACACACACACACACACACACACACACATGAGCAGTATCCAGAACTCACACCTCCAGGATGTCACCCTCAGCCACACATCTACCTGGCAAGTCCCCATCATTCCCCTGCCTCCATTCCTTCTCATCCTAAGGACTCCCCCAACTGCCCTTGACTGACCCATGACATCGCCCTTCATACCACTGCTAACGAGTCTGCTAATTCTCTCCCTTCTGTGGTGCTTTAACTGGTAAGTGCCTGCTTGGTGGATCTGCATTTTCCCTCCACTTCTGGGGCTACTATTCAACCCTGCAAGCAACAGCCATGGGACTCTAATTCCATTCACAGGCTTCCCGCAGAGCTGGGTACATTATTGGACACATGATGGGCACTAGAATGCCTGTAACTAATGAATTACTCTCTGAACTCCAAGGGTGACGGCTGTCTTTCAAAACACAGCCCATGAATCAATATGTCTGGAGAGGACAGGCTTTCCTCAAAGGAAGGAAAAGGACAACTGAAGAGACAACTTCGTGACCTGCTATCAAACAAGCCACTCGCCTGCCTGGGGACGAATTTTATTTTGACTTCTGCAAGGGCCTGCTCTAAAATTAATGCGTGTACCCACAGGAGGAATGCCTAAGCATGCACACATGCAGATGCTGCCCGATCTACCCATCATGAGGCGTGTCCCTGGGCTTACAGTTCCAAGAGATGCTCTTAAGATCATTAGCTTAAAAGCCTGGCATGGCTCTAAAGCAAAATGCAACTACAGAGTCATGACAAAGAGACTGATGGACATTTCTGAGGCTGTAAAATTAATCAACACCAGCTTGAGAAGAGCTAAGGACAAGAGAGGCCTTTTTGCTCATGTAATTAACATCTTACTGGATCCTAGACATCAAATTAACAGGTTATTGTCTCTGTGGTGAACATTTGGTACAGAGGGAGGAAGGATGAGATCCGAATGTTCCTACCTGCTCCTGGGCCAGCAAAGCCTTCTTCTTCATGATTTTCAAGGCATAGACATCCCCAGTTGCCTTCTCTCTAACCACCTGCACTTCAGCAAAGTGACCACAGCCCACAAGACTCCGGACTTCAAAGTCTCCCACTGAAGGCTGGAGCTCCCGTAACTCGGCTATTGTGTCGGAATCTGTGGAAGATGGAAGATTTACACCCAGGTGGAAAAAGAGCACTTCGAATGCATGCATCTTTGTGAAAGGGGGAGAAAAGAAAGAAAAATGTGTTCTGTCTTCCTTCCCTGTCAAAAGACGTTTAGTCACTTTCTCATCCATCATGAATAATTATAAAATCGGCACAAAAGTGTTTTTATCTGTTAAAATTAAGGGCTCCAGAAATTCCAAAGTACGGTTTCCATGGTAGCTATAATTCGAATCCTGTAGACTTAGAAAATAAGAAGGCAGCACACATGCCATGTTTTTCTTCTTCCTCTGAGGGCTGTGGGGCAGTGTTGGGGTCAAACAAGCTTGGCGACATTTAGACTGGCGTTACAATGTGATATGAGTGACGTGACCCCTAGTTTTCCATCAGCTTTGGAGTTGATTCCAGATCATTCTGTTCTAGCTAGATGTGCTCTGCCGGGTTTGTGCCACTGGCCTTTGTATTGTTTCAGAGAATTTCTTTCCAGGCCCTAATTTAGGGTGGTGCTTCAAAGGAGTACACAGTTAGTCCCCAGGCCCAAACAGAGGCCTGGCATCCACTCTGCAAGGTTGATGGCCACAAACCTGGATAAGCCTGCGACACTTGCTTTCTTGACATGATCTTATTCCTTTCCCAAGGCCAGGGCCTCAGGCTGAGATCAATGCAAGAAGTGCAGGACTAAAGGTGTGATAGTGTGGGATCTCACAGGCATTTATGAACACTGTGAGACAAACATCTCTAGATGACCCAAGACTCCACTTTAAGGAACAGTAGTGACGACCTAAAAATGGAACCTGTGATTAACAGAGGAGTTGTATCGGAAACAGAGGTTACAACCAAAGGAAAGCAAGAAAAACCCACAATCCAAATTCTCTTGCAATTCAGTAGCAGAACATGTACTCAGCATGCAGGAGGTCCTGGGTTCAAATCCCAACACCAAAAAAACTTACCCCACAGAATCCCATAGTTAGGTATCATATTGAAAGCTGAAAGACTAGGCCTGAGGAGGTGGCTCAGTGAATAAAAACATTTGCTCTGCAAGCATGAGGACCTGAGTTCCTCAGCACCCACATAAAAAGCCAGGCATAGTGGCACACGCCTGTAACCCTAGCACCAGAGGTCAGAGACAGGTGAATTCCAAGGTCTTGCTGGCCAGGCAGCCTAGTCAAAATGGCAGGCTTGTGGTTCAGTGAGAGACCCTGTCTTACGACAATAAGGTGAACAAACAATGATAGAAAACGATACCTGACATTCTGCTCCAATCTCTGTAGGTTTGTACACCAGAACATTCAAATGACACACAGAAAGACACATACACACACACACACACACACACACACACACACCAAGAGACTGTATGAAATGTCCCCTTGACACTGAAGTTAGAAGCAGCTGGCCCTCCGTATCTACAGATTCATCAACTAAACACAGTTCAAAAGCATTTGGGAGGCCATCGAGATGGCTCGGTGGGTAAAGGAGCTTGCCTGACATGAACTTCATCCCTGGATGAACTAGTAGAAAGAAATCAGCCCCTAAAAGTTGTCTTCTGGTATCTATACACGAACCGTGAAGGATCCACTTATTCGCATGCATGCCATAATAATTAAAAAAACAAAAAACCTTCAAAGACATTCAGAACAGAAAACATTCCACAAAGTTTCAAAACAGCAAAACTTGAGTTTGTGGCAAACAGAAATCTACCCTGAATCCACACCAAGGCAGCATTGCAGAGGCACTGCGGCAGGCATCCAAGCAACCCAAAACAGTTCAAGTCTGAGAGGATGTGTGTGCAGGTATATGCAAATGCTACACTAGTCCACCTAAGGAACTTCAGCATCTGGGGCTATTAGTTTTGTGAAGGGGTGGGGGGAGGGGGGTCTGCAACCAGTTCCCCATGGGAACCCCAACCTAAGGCCACCTCATCTGCACATGTTGTTCTCATGATGAAAGGAACCAAGAGGAAGGCCCTTCTGTTAGAAGTTAGACACTCCCCTAGTCCACCCTTCAGGGACTCAGTCCTGGCTGACACCAGACACGTCATCGCCCTCCACCGCTAGGTGTGGCACATTTCCATAGTCGCTACAAGTTGTGTATTTTCCCTAAGTGACTTGTGTGCCCTTTCAAAAGTTCCTCCTGACATCACGGCTCTCTCTTGCTCGTTTTCTCTGCTCTCTCTCTCTCTCTCTCTCTCTCTCTCTCTCTCTCTCTCTCGCTCTCTATCTCTATCTCTCATGTCCCTATTCTGCAATGGCCTTTTGTTCCCCCTCCCCCAATAAACCTCTTACATGGGATCTGTACCTTGGCCCAGGCCTGCCGAGACACTCTGCTGCTAATCCTAACACTGGTTCTGCAGCTAATCCTAACACCTTTCACAGCACAGTTATGAGTGGCATATAAATTATCCAGCACCAAATGATCATTGTTATCATCCACCCCCTTTCTCTCTTGCAAAGGCAGAGCTGAATTCTCTTGGATGGAACTCCATGGTACTGGCTGTCTTCTGACCCCCACTCTCATGTTGGCCAGTCATACCGAAGCCGCCTTGGTCCCTTGGGGAACAACCCTAGAGTAGTGGGTAGTAGTAGGGTAGAGTACATGCATTCATTGTGAGCACTGTTTTAAAAGTGATGGCCGGGTGAGTAAAAGCACTTGGGATCCACATGGGGGAAAAAAAGGAGAACAGACTCCTGCAATTTGCAATTTGTCCTCTGACCTACACACCACACACACACACACACACACACACACACACACACACAGACACACACCCGCCCACCCACACACACACGTATAAAATAAAGTAGAATACAGCATGAATGCAAACTTGGGAGCCACACAGCATTTCCCCTTTGCTCAGGCAGTACCATGCCAAGCCAGTGTCTGCTTCCCCCCAGCCCCAACCCCCCCACCCTCCCTCTTCAGTCCCATCCTGGGCTTCCTTCATGTCAAGTGTTTGAGTACTGAATTGTAATTAACCAAACATGCTGGCTTGCAGCTTTCTGTGTTTGAACCTGACTTGGCTGCTGCTGTACACAAGGCCAATCTCTCTTCATTTTTTTTCAGGCCTTAGGCCCCAAAATTGCTTACGATGTTGTACAACTCAGTAACTGTGGGTCCGTCACTGGGGACAATCAGGCATCTAAATCACACACGTTAGACAAACTGCTTTGCGGGCAAAAATGATGATACCTTCAGAACTGCAAGAGAGCATTCCAAATCTCTAACTTCTTCCCCAAAGGCTTCTGCATTATTAGGGTAGATAGGTGAGATGCTAAAAATCAAGCCCTTGGCTGTTTTAAAAAAGAAAAGTGGGGGGAGTCCTTCACTACTTCTCCCCATACCAGCTGCTTCTATGACCCCAAAACTATACGGGCTCATCATCCTTCTGAACTTTTAGTTAGTGTTTATGGGTCCAGAGGGTACTGAATATTGAGGCAAACCAAAAGACACAGAGCACTGTAATGAAAACACAGCCAGGGCTGTGGCTTTATTAGACAGACCACTGCACCTGTGGGGTTGAGGGGCAAAAAGCCAACCCAGCAGAATGGACAGCTTCTCTCCCTGAAATTCAGCCCAGCTTTTTAAGGTCTAGGAATCCGTCTTTCACAGAACCCTCAACACATGCTCAGAAAAGATGTGCACAGAGAGGCTCATGACAAAAACCTAAACTTCCATCAGCACCAATATGGAAATGATGTAAAGGTCAACCCGCATCAACAGGAGCTTCAGCACAGCCAGGGCTATGTAGGCAGGCCCTGCCCAAAAAAAGGATCATTTATTTTATGTGTATGTTTTGCCTGCATGTCTGCTCCATGTGCATGCAATGCCCTTGGAGGTCAGAAGAGGGCATTGGATCACCTTGATGGTGGTGGCCTCTGAGTCGGTGCTGGGAACAGAACCCAGGTCCTCTGCAAGAGCAACCAGTGCTCTTAACTGTCAGGCTGTCTCTCCAGCCCTGCCCCTGCATAGTTTAATGTGTCACAATTAGGTCAGGATAGCACTCTTCCATCACAATGAGCATTTATCATTTCTCTGTCCTATCGGCATTGCCTCATGACTCCAAGACATGTAGGAGGCTGCTGCCGGAGGAGCTTGGGACTCTCTTTATGCTCACCTAAGAAAGTAGGGGTGTGCCAGGCGGACACCTTTAATCCCAGCACTTAGGAGGCAGGGGCAGGCGGATCTCTGTGAGTTCCAGACCAGCCTGGTCTACAAGAGCTAGTTCCAGGACAGCCCCCAAAGCCACAGAGAAAACCTGTCTCGAAAAATCAAAAAGAAAGAAAGAAAGAAAGAAAGAAAGAAAGAAAGAAAGAAAGAAAGAAAGAAAGAAAGAAAGGAAGAAAGGAAGAAAGAAAGGAAGGAAGAAAGAAAGGTTGCACTGAGATGCCAGGCAGGATAGTATAGCAAATACATGAAACAATAGGATAGTCATTTATTACCATTATCAAGCACTACATAATTGTACATGTTATGTTCTCATGGGTTTCACAGCAAGCACAGTAGGGTTGTTTAGAACAGCACCATCGTAACTATGTCTGTATGTCTGTGATGCATGGTGCTACAAGTTAGAACGGCTGCAGTGTGCCTGGGTGGAAGACACCATTTAGCTCACTGTAATCCTATTGGAACTCTATCAAACAGTGAGGTATGACACCCAGTTGTACCCTTGTATCTGGAGTATCTAACACGTTGTCTGGTGTGTGTCAGGTACTTGACAAACATCTGCTCAATGAGTGTATTGCTAGGTAAACAAAGTTTAAGTGGCAAGAGGCTGCTGTAACCTCCCTGAGCTCACACACACTCATGTGCACACATGCACATATACACATCAAATTTTTTGTTAAAGAAACAAAAGAAGTGACACACTATATCGTATGCTTTGAGTAAAAATAAGTGTGTTTTGGTTTAGTTGTTTGAGACATGTGTCACCACACCCAGAAAAATAAATAACTCTTTAAAAAGTAAATAAGCAGATATTGAAACATCATGCTATATCTCAAATATATACAGTTACATGTGTCACTTAAAAATATATAAATTATATAAGCATTTATTTTATGTAAGTGGGTACCAGATCCCCTAGAACTGGAGCTAGATAGCTGTAAGCTGTCATGAAGATGCTGGGAACCAACCCCAGGTCCTCTGTAATAAAGGCAAATGCTCCTAATTGGTTAACCATCTTGCTAGCCCCAAGAGAGAATACTTTCTAAAAGAATTCATAGGTAAGGTGTGGTGGCACATGCCTGTAATCCTAGCACCTGGGAAGCAGAGGAAGGTGGGTCTCAGTGAATTCAAGGCTAGCCCAGTCTGTATAGTGAGTTCCAGAGCAGCCAGGAAAACATAGTAAAATCCTGTCTTGGGGGAGAGAGAGAGAGAGAGAGAGAGAGAGAGAGAGAGAGAGAGAGAGAGAGAGAGCAGGGTCGTGTTGCTCTCCTTTATTCCCTTTATTCACCTTTATTCACTTGGGAGGCAGCGGCAGGTGGATCTCTGCAAGTTCTAGGCCAGACTGATCTACAGAGCAAGTTTCAAGACAGGTTCCAAAGCTACAGAGAAACTGTCTCAAAAAAAACAAAGACAGAGTGAGAGAAATAGCAACCAAATAAAATGACTATCCTAAACCACGTTGGTTTGTGTAAGCATCCCATGATAGCCAAATGATGACAAAATCACCTAATCATGCAATCAGAATGCATGTCCATAGTTAATCAATGCAGGCCTGCAACTGAGACTACAATGCCTCCCCTGGTTCCCAGACACTCATTCCTGCCCTCCACTGGCTCAAGGTTACGGGTATCAGTGGGCAGCACCACACGTAACCACCATCTCTATCCCATTTCCTCTGGCAGCTCCCGAGAAAACCTCCACTCTTACATACGTGGGCAGTGGCAGCTGATGGACCCTTCTCCACATTGAAAAGCAAAGCTCACATTCTGAAACAGAAACTCAAAGGGGTCAGGGCGGGGGATGGGGGGGGGCTCATACTAACGTAATCACCGGATTTCAATCACAGGCCCTTCAGGGTCCTCACCAGGAAGCCTCTTCAAAAAATATGAAACAGTTTCCCAGAAGAACATCTACTAGAAAAAAGTCTCCACTCCACTGACATCAGCCCCTGATTATACACCGCTTCTCCATGATTGACTGCTCTTAAGGGTCCCTGGGGTCTCAAGCCTAACGACGGGGCTGGAGCCAGTTCCTCCAAGTTCTGCCCCCTCCTCCTGCCTACTTGATAATTTACATATTCAAAAGAAGACAGAAGAATATTCAAACAAATGCAGAGTGATAAGTAAATACCTCAAGGACATTTTAAAGATACACAATGGGTTAATTAATCAGAGTCGATGCTTGTGGATAACGGTTAGGGTCTAGTAGCTTTGCTGTTGCTGTGATTGAAATAGCCTGACAGAGCAGCTTAGGGTACATCCATCATGGTGGGAAGGGAAGGCCAAGGCAATAGGAACCCAGGAAAGCTGGTCACAGAGCACCCACATAGAAGGAGGAGGGAGAAGTGAAAGTACTCGGCTCACTTTCTCCTTTTTATTGGGCCAGAACGCTAGCCCAGGAAATAGTGTAATTATTGTAGCAAAGGTCCTCCCTACAAGACATGCTGCAATTACAGAGGGCAAGTCTCCTTACAGGAAGTGGTGCAATTACAGAGGGGGGTCTCCCCTACAGGAAGTGATGTGATTGTAGTGGAAGGGCCTCCCTACAGAAAGTGGTGCAATTACAGTGGGCAGGCCTCCCTACAAGGAAAGGTGTAATCTCATGGGCAGGTCTCCCTATCTCAATTAACCTAATCAAGATAATCTTTTTGTTGTTGGTTTTTTAAAAAGAAAATAATTTATTTAATTTTATTAACTAATTGGTGTGAGGGTGTCAGATTCTCTGGAACTGAGTTACAAACAGGTGTGAACTGCCATGAGGGTGCTGGGAATAGAACCTGGGTCCTCTGGAAGGTCAGCTAGTGATCTTAACCGCTGAGCCCTCTCTCCAGCCCTGTTGTTGGTTTTTTGAGACAGGGTTTCTCTGTGTAGCTCTGGCTGCTCTAGAACTTGCTCTGTAGACCAGACTGGCCTGGAACTCAGAGATCCACCTGCCTGTGCCTCCTGAGTGCTGGAATTAAAGATGTGCACCACCACTGCCTGGCTAGATGGCCATTTTACGTGAGGTGGATTCTCAAATCTGTCGTGACTGACCATATGGTCCTGTATGCTGTGGATGCTTCACAGGACTCTGGCTCACGCAGGAGCATCCTCCCTGCCCCTGGCTGTGACAACCTAAAGTATTTCTCTAAGAGGTGCTGGAGGAGAAGAACGCCCACTGACTGAAAACACTAGTGGACAACACTAGATGTGGCACCAACACCCAACTGAGCCGCCACATGGGAGTCAAGCAAAATCAGGAATGTAGTCAAAGTCAGCTGATGCGAGACATTCATAGGCCCTAGGTCACTCTGCCTTATCAGTTGCTTCTCCATTTAAGAAAAATTAAAAATGACATGGTATGACATCAGTGGTATAAATAAAACAATCCAGCTAACTTAGCAAATTGGCAAAGCACGTGCTTACCGTGAAGGGGGGGGGGGGGAAGAAGAGGAGGGAGGAGAGAAGAGGAGGAGGAGAAGGAAGAGGAGACAGCAAATTCAGATCATTACTGTATTCATCTGTTATCATGATTTTAAAATTAAGCAACTGAAGTAAATTATCTTATTGAATTTAAACACAATGGCCCCTAAGCACTGCAGCTATTCTTCCTGAAGAACAGGTTAGCTCAGAGTTTAAGAACAGAGCCAGAGAACAGCATTCCCGTCATATAAGCCCCTGGAAGCACCCATGCCTGAAGCATCCTTTGATTTCTGTCCCATGAGTCGACATATTTCCCTATTGAATTGAATTTCTATCACTTGTAGTGAGAAGCTGGACTTAAATCTGGTCTCTAGGTTACAACTGCACAATCTATATACACATACACCCCTAGGTCTGTCCTTATGTAGACCGTGATTTTCTGGGACTGCCACCAATGTCTTCTGCCTCCAGCATCCTCTTCATCTACAGGGAGGGTTGTAGAGACCAAGTTCCCCGACTTACACTTCCGGACGAAGCTGCTCACATGTTTGATCTTCATCAGGGCAGGCTGGCTGCACTCTTCAAAGAGAACAAAGAGGGCATCTAATATCCCTTCCCGGGAAAGGGCAGACTGCTGCTGTTGAGTCACGAGGGGCGGCTTCCCCTAAAAATGGCAAACAGCAGATGGAGATTCTGTCAATAATGAAAAGCTTTGATCAATAACATCCACGCAGAGTAAGTCACAAGCAACCGACTCAACTAACTGCTCATGACACACTGGCAACGATTCGGGGACCATTAAGTGATTATTTTCGTGGGTCCATTGCTGTGAGTTTTTTCACCTGCGTCTGGGGAAAAATGGGAAAAAAAAAAAAAAAGACTCTCGCCAAGAACACCATTCCTGTACACCAGTCATTCCTTCCTTAAGTCTGAGCTTCACAGCTGGGCATTGGTGGCGCACACCTTTAATCCCAGCACTCAGAAGGCAGAGGCAGGTGGATCTCTGTGAGTTCGAGACCAGCCTGGTCTACAAGAGCTAGTTCCAGGACAGCCTCCAAAGCCACAGAGAAACCCTGTCTCAAAAAACCAAAAAATAAAATAAAATAAAAAAAAGTCTGAGCTTCACGGAAACAGTTACTGTGGACCCTGCAAGTTCTGAGATGACAGTTTATCTCTTCAACTGGAAACAATGATTGACACTCCTTCCCTGTGTGGCTGGACCATTGCTATCACAACCTCAGCCTCTTTTAATTCATCCCAAGAAGTAGGATAGATGCCTACTGTGAAGCCGAATTTATTCATGATCTGTGGGATCGGTTACAGATTGGCAGACTGTGTCTAGCCCACAAACATGTTTTGTTTGGCTTAAAGTATTTAAAATAATTTGAATTATCTGCCAATATTTTTAAATCAGACTTTGCACACACATACACACACACACACACACACACACACACACACACACAATCAGAATGTCTGTCTTTTCCTGAAACTCTAGTGGATCTGGCAATATTGCCCTGTTCTGTCTGGTGACATAACAGGAGCTGAGTGATGTTGCCCTCTTGGTGGCTGCTGAAGTCCACTGTAGACTTGACTTCCAGGCTTCCATTTGACCAGTTTGATTCGTTAATAATCCACTGTCTGGCCTCTCAAGACACAGGCTGGCAGCCCCTGGTTTAGAGCAATGATTGCCATGTGAGGCCATGGATTGTGGGGCAGTCTCTGTAAAAACAGCTACAGGAGGGAGGCACAGAAAGGAGATTTTTTTTAAAGATTTATCTATTTATTATGTATGTATACAGTGTTCTGACCGAATGCCAGAAGAGGGCACCAGATCCCATTACTGATGGTTGTGAGCCACCCTGTGGTTACTGGGAATTGAACTCTGGACCTCTAGGAGAGCAGCCAATGCTCTTAACCTATGAGCCATTTCCCAGGCCCCAGAAAGGAGATTTAATTAAGAGTTCAGGGGCTAGGGAGATGGCTCCAGTGGGTAAAGTGCCCATCATACAATAACGAGGACTTGAGTTCGGATCCCATGTAAAATATCTGGGCATGGTAGCAAGTGCCTATCACCCAACACATGGATTCCTGAAGCTCATTGGCCAGTTCATCTAGTTGAATTGATGAATGGTGAGAGATCTTATCTCAAAACATTACAGTGGAGATCAACCAAGGAAATACAGCCGATGCCTACAGCTGGCCTACACACACACACACACACACACACACACACACACACACACACACACACACACTCTTGGTGATACACACCTGTAATCCTAGCATGTGGGAGGCTGAGACTGGAGGATTATGCGTTCAAAAGAAGCTGAATGACAGCCACTTTTTCAAAAAGAAAGGACAAAAGAGAGTCACTTACGGTTTCAGGTACATGTCACATCTCCCTTCTGTATCCACCATCAGCATGCCTTACTTTAAACAGCAGAGAGTGACACAAATGGCATTGTGCTGGTTCAGGGTACAGCCTTTGCCTTGTTTGTTTTGGGGTCGGGGGAGGCAGCTGCCATGCACAGAAGTTTAGGCAACATTTAGGGTTTGGTACACTACAGCCCATGAGCCAGACAAGGCCCAAGGCCTGAATTAGCAACAGAGTTCTGGACATGGACAATAGCCATGTCCACTCCTTTACATTATGTCCATGACAAATTTGGTGCCACAACAGCAAAGTTAAATAGCTGCCACCAGTGACCCACATAGTGGGAAATCTTTTATGATTTTCAGGGAAAAACAAAAAAACAGTAAGAGCTGGAGAGATGGCTCAGTGGTCAAGCACATTGGCTGCTCTTCCAGAGGAGCCGGGTTCAATTCCAGCACCCACATGGCAGCTCACAACTGTCTGTAACTTCCATTTCATGGGTCCTGACACCTTCACACAAACATATATGCAAGCAAAACACCAATGCACACAAAGTAAATAATTAGCAAGAGCCCAGATAGCCTAGGTAAATAAATAAGTAAATACATGGAGAGGCCACATGGAGGCGGGGTGATGGCTCAGACAGTAAAAGTGCTTGCCATGAAGCCTAAGGACTGAAGCCTGGAATCCACAAAAAAGGCCAGATGTGGGAGCACATCTGTAACCCCAGCAATCCTCCTGGAAGACAGGAGATGGAGGCAGGAGAGTCCACAGAAGTCTGTAGGCCAACAAGCCAGGAATGTACCATTGGCAAAACAAGAGAGGCCCTGCCTCAAAACAAGGTGAGAAGACTACCGATTTCTCAAAGTTGCGCTCTGATACCTGTGCGCGGTGGCTCGTGTGCACAGGAGCCCATGGTCACACAAGCATGTGGGCACACACAAATAATAATAACAATAATGATAGGGGATGTTTTTCTGTATATATGTTTCTTTTATTGGTTGATAAATAAAACACAGATTGGCCAGTAGCCAGAGAGGAAGTATAGGCAGGGATACCAGATGAGGAGAATGCTGGGTGGAGGGAGGAGAGAAGGGCCGCCAAGAAGATGCCATGTAGCTGAGGAAGGAGAAACAGGTCCAGACCCTTCTCTGGTAAGATAAGACCACGTGGAAATACTTAGATTAATAGAAATGATTTGCTGGGAGTTTGTGGTGCACGCCTTTAAGCCCAGCACTCGGGAAGCAGAGGTAAGTGGATCTCTGTGAGTCCGAGGCCAGCCTGGTCTACAGAGCGAGTGCCAGGATAGGCTCCAAAGCTACACAGAGAAACTCTTGTCTCGAAAAACCAAAACAAACAAACGGGTGCCTTGTTGAGCAGTCAGCTCCTAGATTCTGCTGACACAGGTGTAATCTCAGCTGATTGTGGCCTGAGTAACCCCAGCTGATGCCATGGGGTGGCGGAAAGCCACCTACTGAACTACAGCCAACCTGCTGTGGTTTGACTGTTTGTTTTGAAACAAGGCCTCATTTTATATTGCTGGCTGGCCTGGAACTTGTTATATAAACCAGGCTGGCCTTCGACTCACAGAGATACACCTGCCTCTGCCTCCCAAGAGCTGAGATGAAAGCATGCACCTCCACGCCTGCAGGAAACCCTGCAGAACCCTAAGAAAAGTTGGCACTGTACCTTTAAGCTTTAAGGCTTGTTACACAACATTGGGTGGCATAAAAGAGCAGCTGTGTTTCAATCGCTAGAGAAACACAGAAGAACAGATTCTTTGGCCCCATTACCAACCTCCTGAATTAAAATCCTCTAGGTTGCAGTTTAGAGCTGATTTTAACAAATTCCCCAGGAGACTTGGTCAAGTTGGGAACCGCTGGGCCTTCCTGCCTGACCCATTTGGTTGTCTCTAACTCTGGAAAGTGAGGCTCCTTGTTTCCCTATTCACTTGAGAGGTAAACCCAAGCAGACGAGGGAGGGGTTCCCGGAGACTCAAGGAGGCTTGAGCTCAGAGCACCATATCATACCTTCTCCAAAAGCTCGGGGGACTTAAATGTGAAAATGGCCCTTTGTTCTGATGCTTTTTCTTACTCTCTCCATGTTTCTTAAAATGCCTGCTTTAGGAAATGAAAAGACCAGAAAGTAATAGCTTTTTTCCTTTTATTTGTTTTCTACATCCTTGCCTGGCAAAAAAAAAAAAAGCTGGCAGAGCCTTGGCCGCCTGGTGATTTGTGCGATTTCTGTGGCTCTGGAAGTCTGCCAAGCACCGAAACAGAAGTGCCCTGTGTAGGAGGGAGCCACACCGACTGAGACCTATTCTAAAGGACATACCTTAATAGAAAACAAACCAGCCACTGCATCTAACCCTCAGGGGTGGCAGCCCTGCGTGGGGACAGCACAGCAGCCTCAGCAGGCACATCTGAGGCCAAGTCTGATGTTCCCAGACACTTGGTCACAGCAGCTTTCCTGGAGCAGGAGGCACTAATTGTTGCTGTCTGCATGTGGTTTGCCCTCCAAGGATTCATGTGCTGCAAGCTTGGACCCCAGTGTCAAAGTGTGGGAGCTTTAAAAGGGAGAGGGGGAGGGACAGGGAGCTGAGGTTGGTATGTAAAATGGGAAAAAATTTTGTAAATTAAAAACAATTTTATTCAACAAGAAAAAAAAAAAGGTGGAAGAGACTGTAGTAAGTTATCTGGTCTTCAGGAGGGGGTGAGACACTTATCTGGTCTCCAAGAGACAAAATGCTTTCCTTAACCTGGAGAGCTGGGGGCGGGGTGTTAGAAAGGGAATAGGCCTGGTCCTTTACTTCCTGTCTTACTCATGTGATTTCTGCACATGCTTCCTGCCAGCATGGTGCCATTGTTACCAGGACCTCATCAGAGCCAAGCAGAAGCCACTGGCTTACTCTTGAGCCTGCAGAACTGTGAGACGAGTAATCTCTTTTGGTTACAAAGTATATACACCCTAGAGTATATTGATACAGCAAAAAAAAAAAAAAAAAATCAACTAAAGTCACTCAGCATTAAAAAGATGTAATGAAAGTGTCCTAGTTTGCTTTCTGCTGCTGTGGCAAACACTGTGACCAAAAGCAAGATGGCCAGGAGAGGAGAGGGTTTATGTCAGCTTACAGCCCGTCATGAGGGCAAGTCAGAGCAGAACTGGAGGGAAAAACTGAATCAGAAGCCGTGGAGGAATGCTGCTTACTGGCTTGCTCACCCTTGCTTTCCTTGCACCGGGGATGGCACCACCCACAGTGTGTTGGACCCTCCCACATCCACCATTCATCAAGAAAATGCCTCAGAAGCTTGCTGACAGTAGGCCAAGATGACAAAGCATTTTCTCGGTTGAGGTTCCTTCTCCCCAGGTGATTCTAGTATGTGTCAAACTGACAAACAACCCAACCAGCACTGAAAGTTTTACTCAGAATCCGACCCATAAGACATTCAAGCATAAAACATGGTAGAATGACTCTGATACATGCTAGTAATGGGGTGGAGGGGGTGGGGGGTTCCACATGATCGGCCTTTGAAATCAGACAATCCCAACACATCCACTGTCTCACAAGCTTCGAGACGTTAGACAAGCCCGGTGTTTATCCTATGCAAGCTGTAAATAACAAACAGTTCTCTTACTGTCTGTTATGAGGCTGAATTGAGAAGCATAACAGTGACAGCATCAGCTAAGTCCTTTTTTTTTTTCTTTACGTGTACAGGTGTTTTTCCTGCATGCTTGGCGCCCTCTGAGGCTAGAAGAGGGCATCAGACCTCTGGAAAGGCATTTTTTACACAGCCTCATTAACATGAGTTTAGATATCCACCTAAAAGTCAGATATGGCAGCCTAAACGTCTCTAATCCTAAATGCTGCCATAGGGAATGCAATCTGAGACTATCGAATCAGAAGTTCAGAAGACAGCTAGTCTCAAAAACACAGCAGACAAGAGAGAACTCGTCCAAAAAAAAAACAAGATGAGGACAAGATTTCCTCCACTTGAGTTCCATGGTGCATGAATCCAAACGCATGAGAACACACACATTCCTACCCGAATTCATCACAAACACACACACACACACACAAAGTTGAGGCTAACCTGTGCTACATACATAGAAAGGCCCTGTTTAAAAAAAAATAGGTAAATAAATAAATCAAAACTGAAAAGCAGATTCAAAGAAGGTGCAATTAACTAATTACCCAAAGCAACACAATTAACACCTGCTGGACTATAGTTTTCAAATGTCAATCTTGACCGCTATTTGTCCTCTTGACTTGTGTATATACACATACATCAGAAACATAAAACTAGAAAACTGTTGGGAAATATTTCATGGCATCCATCCTTATTGGATGAAGGAAATGTCAGGTATCTCACAAGGGATGTAGTTACATAGGTGCGGTATTTAATCTAAGAGCAGACAACCAGCCACCAAGTGTGGTGGGCATACTTCTTTAATCCCAGCACTCAGGAAGCACAGGCAGGTGGATCTCTGTCAGTGAGGCCAGCCTGGTCTACATAGTGAGTTCTGAGACAGCCAGAAGTACATAATAAAAAGTTCTTAAAATAAAAAAAAAAAAGCAGACATTCCTTGTATGAAAAAGTTTATATCTACACTGGGGCCAGAGAGGTGACTCAGTGGTTAGAAAGCTAGTTCACTACTCTATGAGGGGTTGGGATCCCAGCACCCACATCAGGCATCTCACAAACACCTGTAACTCCAGCTCCAAGGGATCTGAAACCTGTTGGTAGCCTCTCTCTGAGTACTCAGCCAGAAAGACACAACACAGCCGACAGACAGACAGACAGACAGGCACATGCACACACATACCGGAAATAATTTTGGTTTTTAAAAGTCCTTCATTCCTTTCTTTCTTTAACTGAAAGGACAAAGTTTGGACGTGTAAAGTGTGAGAATAATAATGAGATGTCCCAAGGGCAGGTCCAGCCACGTAACCATCTGCACTATGGCACCTCTGTCCAACTCAGTCACATCCTGTAAAACCACAAATGGATCCCTACCCTCCAAGAATATCAGTCTCAAAGGTGGTAACCTCCGCAGTTGCGGTGAGCATCTTTGACAGGCAACCTCTTACCTGGAAGAAGGCATTTAGCCTGGAGGCCCGACTGGAAATGGGCTCAGAGGCACTGGCATCCAATGGGTTCCGCACTCCATACTTGAACTTCAACATCTCTCCCCCCGACGGCGCTGAAGGACAATGGGGAAAGTCAAGTGTGTACTGACATTTGGAGCAGGAAGGGCTTGACAGGATCTTATTGCTGCCACACTCCACAGCACGAGGCAAGCACACGCAGCATACATACAAAAAAGAGCTAACAGCCATTGTTGGACCAGGCAGACTACAGCCCGTTAGCCACTCTAATAAATCCCCATTTGATGCATTTGTTGTTTCTACTCCATCTGTTCTGTTCCTCTAGTGCGCCCTGACTACTACAAATATCTAATATCTCATCTGCTAACTTTAAAAATTAAGAAAGTGCTGGGCGTTGGTGGCACATGCCTTTAATCCCAGCATTCTGGAGGCAGAGGCAGGGGGATTTCTGTGAGGTCGAGACCAGCCTGGTGTGTAAGAAAAAATTCCAGGACAGCCTCCAAAGCCACAGAGAAACCCTGTCTCGAACCCCCCCCCCAAAAAAAAGAAAAGAAAGTATGTGAAGGCCTGGCGTTGGTGGCGCATGCCTTTATTCCCAGCACTCGAGAGGCAGGCGTTTCTCTGTGAGTTCGAGGCCATCCTGGTCTCCAGAGCGAGTGCCAGGATAGGCTCCAAAGCTACACAGAGAAACCCTGTCTCTCGAAGAAAGAAAGAAAGAAAGAAAGAAAGAAAGAAAGAAAGAAAGAAAGAAAGAAAATGTGAAAAGTCATATTCATAAATTACAAAATAAAAACTGTCTAAATAGACGAAATGGGTGACCAGCGAGCCCTCCCTGCTGCCTGCATATTATCTAGGAAAAAGCATAGTGCACTGTCCCTGGAGGGGGCGGAGGTCAAGGGTCACATCAGAAAGGTCAGAGGGCTACACATCGAGGAAGATGCAAGAAGGAGGTGCCAGGTTAGGCATGGGAGAGAATGAAGACACTGGATCAGAGAGATTAAGAAAGTAATTTAAGATCACACAGATAATGCGAAGCGCATGGGCAAGAACAACACAGGCAAGGCTTACCTTACAGGAGGCAGAGGCTACAGGGCACTCAGCCCTCCTGAAGGAGCCCTGGCCTAGGGCAGCACACCCCGGGTTCCCCTCCACAGGCTCCCCCCAGCACACCCCAGGGCTGAGCCCACAGACCCCGGAGCTGCACCCACAGACTTAGGGGTGAACCCACAGACCCTAGGGTTACTCCAGCACATCCCGGGCTGCGGCCCCAGCAGACCCTCGTGGGCCCCCGCGACCCTGAGGCTCCTAGCCGCAGGAGGGAAAGTGGTCATCAGTATGAACCGGGCCAGGCGGGGAAACGCGGCAAAGGAGACTTCCCTCCCGACCGTCTCCACACATACAGACACCCACACAAACACCTCAGGAACCGGGATCACCTTCCGCAGACCCCCGGCTTACACTCGCCGCGCTCCGTCCTGAGCCTCCCGCCCCAGCGTTTGAGGAAAACGGCATGGGCGGGTCTCAGCCGTGCCCGACCCAATCAGCGCTCTCCATCTCTGATGGACAGCAGGGGGTCTCCGCCAGGACCCGCCCTGGTCTTGGAGGGCTGGAGGAAGTGAAATGAGAAAACCAATCAGATCTTGTCTTCCCTTGACTGGTGACCAATAGGAAGAGGGCAAGGGTGTTCGGGCGGGGCAGAGCTGGGAAGTTTGAAATTGGCGGTTCGCAGGATGCTGTGTTTGGAGTGTGGGGCGGCTCCTGAAGAATCTGAGGTGCTGCTGTCCTTTGCTATCCGGGTCCCTGCGGGGAGCCTGGCCGCTCTACCTGGACCGCCTGCCCCTGATAGTGATGTTAGGAGCCAAACTCCAGTTTTCTGCAAGAATGCACTCAACTGAGCCAACTCTCCGGCCTGAAGTGGGCGCTCAGGTGAGCATGAACTCAGTGCAGCCTGCCTGCCTGCAGCAGGAAGATGAAGATGTCCCTACAAAAACATGTTTAAGTAAATTTAAGCCAAGATCCCTAAGTCGCCCTTTCCTCCAAATGACAAAGCCCAATGACGGTCAGTATGTGGAAAGTTCCCAGCCTCGTTAGCCATCAGGGAAAGTGAAAGGCCTGCTGGGTCTGTGTTTGTGTAGCAGTGGCGTTATTTGCATTCACACAGGGTTGAGTGTGAATTGGCCGAAGAAGGGGCAAACTCTGAAAAGGAGTTTGGTATTTGCTAACATTGAGGCTCTGTGTACTCTATGACTACTAGGAATGGCTTCTCTACATTAGTTATGAAACCGAGAAACTCATACAAGAAAGCAAATTCAAAATAGTGTTGTCTGACACAACAGCAAAAGCTCGAGAGATGGCTCACGCACGCTTCAGGGGGCCTTGCGTGGGTTCCCAGCACCCACTTCAAACCCCTCACAACTTCCTGTAACTGTTTCCAAAGGGTCAGATGACCGTACCTGCACTCCCGTGCATGTATCCACAGACACACACACACATTTAAAAGAAACAGACTATGCCAGGCGTTGGTGGCAAACGCCTTTAATCCCAGCAGAGGCAGGCAGATCTCTGTGAGTTGGAGGCCAGCCTGGTCTACAGAGCGAGTTCCAGGATAGGCTCCAAAGCTACACAGAGAAACCCTGTCTCGAAAATAAATAAATAAATAAATAAATAAGAGGCAGACTGTATCACAGGTGTAAAATACTGGGACTGCAAAGCCAGGAGAAGAGGCACCTGGGGTTGGAATGACCGCTTTTCAATGAGACCATGAGAAGTGCAGTGGCTTATTTCTTGACCTGATGAGAATGTAGATGTGTTCTTAATTACACATTTAGATTTCGCTCTGGGCAGGGCTGCAGAGATAGCTTAGCAGTTAAGACCCAGTCCTCTTTCAGAAGACTTGTGTCAGGCTCCCAGCATCCATGTCAGGTGGTTCACAATCAACTATTACTCCAGCTTCAAGAGACCCAATGCACTCTTCTGACTCCATCAGCATCCACAAACATCTCAAGTACCCTCAGACCCACACAAAGCCACATAACTTAAAAAATAAAAATAAAAAATAAACCAATAGCTGGATATGGTGTGCACACCTTTAATCCCAGCACTTGGGAGGCTAAGGCAGGCGGATCTCTGAGTTCAAGGCCAGCCTGGTCTACAGATCAATTACCAGGACAGCAAGAGCTACACAGAGAAACCCTGTCTCCAAATAAATAAATAAATAAACAAGGATTTGTTTCCGTATATGTTAAAAAAAACTGTACTAACCCATCAAGACTTGTTTTGGTTTTCTTGTTTTGTTTTTAATGGAGTTTCATTAAGTCCATGCCCTCAAACCCACTATGAAAGAGAAGCTGGCCTTTACCTCTGAGCCTCCTGCCTCTACTTTAAGTGCTGGGTTTGCAGATGTGTGCCTCTTAAACAAACACTAGTACAGGTGTTGCATAGATCAAGCTAAAATTTCTTTTTGAAATTTAGAGAACACTGTAACATCAGACATAATCCTGAAGCAGCTCTCAAATTGGCATTATTATAGTACTTCCGATTTACCAACAGAGTCATTCAAAATTTAAGAAATTAAGCCTGAGGTTGGAGAGATGACTCAGCTGTCAAGAGCCTTCGCTGTTCTTTCAAAGAACCAGAGTTTGGTTCCCAGCATCCAAGTCAGGTGATTCACAACAGGCTGTAATCCTAACTCTAAGGGACCCTGTGTCCTTTTCTTGCCTCCATGAGCACCTGTACTCACAAGTGTGTACACACACACACACACACACACACACACACACACACACACACACACCATAAAAATAAATTTTTAGAAAGAAATAAGCCAAAACTGTAGCTTTGTGCCTGCAACCACAGCACTTGAGAGGCAAGTTAGGGGGTTAGGATTTGAACTGGACTATTCTTTTTTTTGTTTTGTTTTTTGAGACAAGGTTTTTCTGTATTGCTTTGAAGGTTGTCCTGGAACTAGCTCTGTAGACCAGGCTAGCCTCAAACTCACAGAGATCTATCTGCCTCTGCCTCTCGAGAGCTGGGATTAAAGGTGTGCAACACCAACGCCTGGCTGGTCTATTATTCTAAAGTCAGTTGCTTGTTTGTTTGTTTGACGACAGAGTCTCTCTGTCCTAGAACTTACTCACTCTGTAGACCAGGCTGGCCTTGAACTCAGAGATCTGTCTGCCTCTGCCTCCTGATTGCTGGAACTAAAGGCATGTGCCACCACCACTGTCCTTCTCTAAAGGCCATTTTTAATAACTACCAAATTGTAGTGGCTTCTATTTTTGACTATCCCAACACCTAGCACAGAATAGATACTTATGAGTATGTTCAGGTGGAAAGAGATGCTAACACTATGCATATTTGATGACAATCTGGCTTTCTCATATAGATATACCTAAAGCATCAGTATGCACACTGAAACCACCAGAGGAAGTTTTAAAACTACTAACCCATGGGCCAGGGAGATGGCTGAGCTCGTAAAGGTGTCTGCAGTCAAGATGGATAGACTGAGCCCAATCCTTGGGACCCACATGGTGGAATGAGAAAACCAGTTCTGGACAACTGTCCTCTGATCTCTCCATACATGCCATGTCACGTTCTCCTATGTGTGCTTACATGCACACACAAATGCAAATAACATTTAAAATGTAAAACAAGAAGAATGCAAATGCATGGACCTCACCCACTCCCAGCCTTGTTTCACTGTTCTAGCCTTGGGGTGTTTTTAAAGTCCCCCAAGTGACTCCAATGTGTAATATGCAGCCATCCCAAAGAACCACATGCCAAGAGAGTGGATGCACTGCTAAGTAAATAGCAGGATGTATTGCAGTCTTTTTGTGTGTACAGTGCTGAAGACTCAACGGAGAAGTAGTGCATGCATGCTTAGCATGCTCCAACCCAGACTCACCGTAAATCAATACACTGGCAATCTGCTTCATCATGGTCTTTATTGTGGAGAGAGTCCTCTCTGTAAGGAGAACCCTCTCTCAAGCTGGCTCAATCGAAAAATTACCTACATACTTTCAACTTCCTAGCTTCTGTCCTGGGATCTGCCATGTTGAAATCAACTGAAAGAAATTTAACACAAAGAAACCAGGAGTTAGGAGCACACCTCAGTGGTGCAGTCAGTGCTTATCAAATATGTTCCAGGTTCTGAGTTTGACCTTCAGCAGCACATTAAAAAGTGCCAGGAGTGGTGGCACACACCTTTAATCCCAGTGCTCTGGAGGCACAGGTAGTTGGGGCTCTATGGGTTCAAGGCCAGCCTGGTCCCCAAAGCAAGTTCCAGGACAGCCAAGGATACATGGTGACACTGTGATTCAGAAACAAAGAAGGTATATGTGGTAGGGAGGGGCAATAAAGGGAAGGAAACTGGGAAGTGCTAGGCTTAATTAAAGAGTGAACTTTAACATAAATATTTCATATATTCATAATGGATGTCTCACATACAGACTGATACAAAACAAGGCACAGTGTTGTACACACTTAATCCCAGCACTTGGGAAGAGAAGGCAGGAGGATCAGGAGTTCAAGACCAGCCTCAGCTACTTGGCAAGTTTGAGACCAGTCTGAACTAATGAGAGCCTGTCTCAAAAAAGTGTGTGTGTGTGTGTGTGTGTGTGTGTGTGTGTGTGTGTGTGCATGCATGTGCAAGTGCATGCTTGTGCTTGTGATAGCTAGGGAAATGGCTCAGTTGGTGAAGTGCCTGAAATGCTAGCAGAAGGACCTGGATTCAAATCCCAAACCCACGTAACATAGCTGGGCAAGACCATGCATTTGTAACCAGTGCTGGGGAGGTAGAGATGGGGGGATCTCTGGGACTTGCTCAAGCCTATCCAGATGAAACCATGAGATCCTGGTTCAAAGAGAGACCCTGTCTCAAAAAGAAAAAAAAAAAAAAAACAACCAAGGAGGAGCAGGGTGTGGTGGCACACGCCTTTAATCCAAGAGTGCAGGAAGCAGAAGCAGGTAGACCTCTGTGAGTTAAAGTCTGTCCTGGTTTACATAGTGACAGGGATATATAGTGAGACCCTGTATCAATAATTAAATAAAAATATTCTCTTTCATGATGAGACAGACTTAGACTTCCTAGGGGAGGCCTTACCCTCTCTTAGGAGCAGATGAGAGGTAGGGTGAGGGGGAGGAGAGGAGGGAGAGGGAACTGGGATTGGAATGTAAAAAATAGATTAATAAAAAAATCTAAAAAAGTATATTCTCTCTCAGTGTGTGTGTGTGTGTGTGTGTGTGTGTGTGTGTGTGTGTGTGTGTGTACATGTGAATTCAGGTGCACATACAGTCTAGAAGAGGGTGACAGATGCCCTGATCAGGAGTTAAAGTTGGTTATGACACAGCTGATGGTTGCTGGGAACCAAATTTAGGTCCCCTACAAGACCAGAAGTGTTTTTAACCACAGAGCCATCTCTCTAGTCCCTCGTGGGGTTTTTGTAATTGTTGCTGTTTGGCAGAGTCTTCCAATAGCTTGTATTTTTGTTGTATTTACATATTTATTTTTGATGATTATGTTTTAGTAAGTCATATTTTAAAGATTTTACTTTTATTTTTA